ATTGTAATGTATTAGGTTAGATTGGCTGGAATATCGCGTTGGAAGTTTCGAGTATTGTCTTTGATTGATTTGGAGCTGATGTGTTTTAGATTTAGATTATTACAACATTTACTGGCGTTACTGGCGTTATCTCTGTTGTTAGTTTTGTTGCTATTATTGTTTCTCTGTTGATGAGTCTGTTACTGTTACTGTAATGTATTAGGTTAGATTGGCTGGAATATCGCGTTGGAAGTTTTGAGAAAGTGTTGTCTTTGATTGATTTGGAGTTTTGCTTTAGTTGGAGCTGATGTGTCTTAGATTTAGATTATTATAAAGTTGTCTGATGTTGTTAATGTTAATATTAGTGTTACTGGTGTTATCTCTGTTGTTTTGTTGCTATTACTGTTTCTCTGTTGATGAGTCTGTTACTGTTACTGTTTCGATTTCTATTGCTACTTTAGTTACTATTACTGTTACTACTATTACCAACCTAATTATCACTAGACACAACGCAAGTAAAACAGTATTAACCTGTTAACTGTGGAATTTAGCTTGGAAAATGTCTCGTTTTGCAATAAAATCAAAAAACGAAGTGTGTATTATTTGTCAAACGCAAGACGAATGCATCTAGGGTATAATTTAATGAAATACCACAGCAAAACGAGAAAAAATTACATGTTTACATGAAAAAATAAAGAATTCATTGTTGAAAGAATCAGTATCATTTCAGGCTTTAAGATGACGTGTATTCTCGTCAAACACATACGGTTAAATTTATTGGTACATTTTTAAACATCAATCAAATAGAAATTTGTAATTTATAAAAAACTATAAGAAATTCGATTTTGTAATTTTACTTCGCATTTGTGTTACACATACCTAAAAATGTTACATAAATGTAGAACCAGCAATTAAACGGTAAACTAAAAATCCCAGTCTTCCCTAAGATACTCTGACCTTTCCTCAAATCTTTCCCAATGATCGACACCAGCAATACCAAAGGAAGATGAACTCGAGTCGAGGAATTTCCCGAGCCCGACAATACAAAAATCCGCGAGAAGTTTACACGTGACGGTTCAGAGGCTCTCTTTTCTCGGGTTCGTCTGTCTGTAGCAATTTGCATACGCCCACCGCGTGGCCGCGAAGTAGAATCGAAAACGGAAGCGGAAGAGGAGGACAGCGAGAACGGAAGCAGAGAGAGAGAGACAGAGAGGGAGAAAGAAAGAGAGCTTGTTACACGGCTGGCGGTCCAGAGATTCACCAGTTCAGCAGAAAAATCTTCACCTTCGGCCTTCCACCTCCTTTTTTCCGTGGGAAAGCAAGCCAGACGATGGCCGAGCCGCCCCTGCGGCTTGCATACTAACCACTCGACGACGTCGCGTTAAACCTTCGTGAATTATCTCGAGATTCGACGGGCGGAAGGGGATGAACTTCCGGGAGACACTTGTCTCGACGACTCGACACCGAATCGCGTTGTTTCCTCGGGTTTTCCGACCAAGGAAAATTATTTTCAGCGTTGGCAATTCGTCGCTGCGGGGAATTAGGTTTAAACTTGTAAAGTTTCCTTTTAACACTCGATATTTTTTAATGGTATTGTGTTATTTATGGTGTTGGAGAAAAGGATTGTTTGTAGTGGTTTCTGTTAATTGTCTTTTGAAGGTTTGAAGTAATGAATTTAGAATATTTAGAAGTACGAAAAGGAAATTGTAAATATAAATTGCAGGATTAAAGGTTGTACAATTAATTGTCCTTTGAAATTGGTTTGAAGTAATGAATTTAGAATATTTGGAACTAAAGCAGAGAAAATGTAAATACAAGTTAGAGGATTAAAGGTTGTACAATTAATTGTCCTTTGAAATAAGTTTGAAGCAATGAATTTAGAATATTTAGAACTAAGGAAAGACAATATAAATACAATTAAGAGGATTGAAGGTTGTACAATTAATTATTCTTTGAAATAGGTTTGACGTAATGAATTTAGAATATTTAGAACTAAACAAAAGGAAAATGTAAATACAATTTAGAGGGTTAAAGGTTGTACAATTAATTGTCTTTTGAAATAGGTTTGAGGTAATGAATTTAGAATATTTAGAACTAAGGAAAGACAATGTAAATACAATTTAGAGGATTAAAGGTTGTACATTTAATTGTCTTTTGAAGTACGTTTGAAGTAATGAATTTAGAATAGTTAGAACTAAGGAAAGACAATATAAATACAATTAAGAGGATTGAAGGTTGTACAATTAATTGTTCTTTGAAATAGGTTTGAAGTAATGAATTTAGAATATTTAGAACTAACGGAAAAACAATGTAAAAACAAGTTAGAAGGTTAAAGGTTGTACAATTAATTTTGTAAATTTTATATCATGTATCTTCGGTGTCCGGTACACAAGTAAGATTTTCGATTCGTTTTCTCTGGTGCATAGTCGGCAGTTTGTCGAGCATGCCATTTCGAAGACACCTTTAATATTAGACCCGGTGACGCGGTCTGATTATAATAAAATTCCCGGTAACAACGCGCGCAGACGTTTGTCCTATAAATTTCCCAGGAATTCCCGTAACGAGTTTGAACGAAGCGTGCGCCCGTAAAAGTTGTTTTTCCTGAAAACTTTATCAGGCATCACGGTCGGACGCGCAGCCCTGCGGAACGATCTATTAAAATTAATCAACGGTCTAATTGCCACCTTAATCATCCGCTCGTTCTCCCAGCGCGATTACTCCGGACGCGTCGCGTAACATATTTCGCGCGAGTTCTCGCAGCGTGTAAGCTATTTTTATCAAGTTACAATTACACATTGCATGCACTCGCGAGATTGAATTTTAGATATTCCCTGAGAAACGAGCATCTAACGAGTCCTTTAACACGTTGAATGCCATAGGGGTCACCGGTGACCTCCAGCCAAATCGAATTACTACAGTTCATTCAATTAAACGATGATTATTTGAAAACATTTCTATATTATAAATAATGCTAACTAATATTTTTATTATTTATGCGATCGATATAAAATTTAGCTTCGTCTGTTAAAGGTTCGGTATATTTCAAAGAATCTTCAATACCACCGTAAGAAATTAACCCTTTGCGGACGAACGTAGACATTTCGGAGATCAGATTTTCATATTTGGAACAGTACGTGGCAAATGAATGATCTAATTACTCGAACAGCAAGAGACCAGTACGTAGTTTCCTTATTTTTATTATTTGTGCGATCGATATAGAATTTGGCTTCATCTGTTAATGGTTTTGTATATTTCAAAGAATCTTCGCGTCTATCGTTTAACCCTTCGCACTCGAAAAGTGACTTTCAGTCACCACTTGATTTGATACAGCAAAACTGAAGTTGAATATTCAGTATTTTAAATTAAAATTATATTTTGCAAGGCGAAATATTTAAATAAAATAGCTTTGCTGCTAATTTATCTGTGAATTCTCGTTAAATTAGTTTAAAACGATGTCATCTATATTTCATCAGAAAATGTCCAAATATTTCTACTGAAAAACTTCCGAGTGCAAAGGGTTAATTGCTAATCCTTCGTTAACACGTTCCATGCCACGAAAATTTCGGTCATATTTCGCTAATGAACTGTATTGATTTTTAAAATAAAGTATTAAGTTATATTCAAGTTTTTTTTTAATTTTATATATTTTGACATCGTTTCTTAATGTTTTCGGTGCTTTATAACGCATACAGCTATTCTTGACCATGAGTCCCCTAAAAATATTTTGTTAGAAAAATTAACGTGTACCACATGTGGTACACGTGGCACTGAACGTGTTAACACGTTGAATGCCATGGGGGTCACCGGTGACCCCCAACCAAATCGAATTATTATAGTTCACTCAATTAAACCATGATTATTTGAAAACATTTCTATATTATAAATAATGCTAGCTAATGTGATGACATTCAGCTGGATGAACCTGCAATAATAACAATGCAACTCAATCGAACGATTTAATATTATACTCTTTCCATTTCAAGTATTCCGTACCATGAAATCGTGCGGCATTCAACGTGTTATCTGTCTGTTCGTTACTGACCGATTCTATTTATGAAAATCAGTTTTGTCCGACACGTAGATATTCCCGATAAGGATCAATGTTTCCGTTCCACCAGAATTTATAAGCTATTGTATAGTTATAAAAGAAACTTCGCTTTCGAAAAATTGCGACAGGAGAAGCGGACTGCGGACAAGGAAAATATCCTTAATTAGTTACACCGATAAAAATACAAGTTATCGTTAAGAAGTCTTTCCGGGAAACTGAAACATTCACAAAGTTTCCCAATTTCTGGTGTGTACGTACGTGTGCGTACGTGTGCGTGCGTGTGTGTGTGTGTGTGTGTGTGTCCACATCGCGCGAGGAAAAAAAGGATTTCTGCTGCGTCGTCGCGACTAATTTCCCGTGGAAATTACCCAGCAAACTAACCGAGCTCGCCGCTGCGTCGCGGTGTC